AGTGACTTACAGAAGGCCGGAAGCCTGAAGGGACAGTCCACCATGGTGGGCAGGATGTGGAGGCAGGAGTGACTGCGTCTGCAGTTTCTGCTGGTCTGCAGCTGCAGCTCACTGCCTCCTTTTCCTTCGGTCTGGGACCCCAGTTGTAAGATGGTGCTGCCACATCCAGCCTGAGTCTGTTCCCATAATTAAACCTCTCTGGAAGTGCCCTTTCCCACATCCACCCAGGGGTGTGTTTCCATGGTGATTCCAAACTCAGTCAAGTTGACACTGAAGATGCCCCTCACAAGGAGTGAGGCAGGGTTCTGAGGCAAGGCCAAGGTCCGCTTGTTCACACCCTGCACTCGACTGCTTCGGTGGACTGACCTGCTGGGCCCCTCTGGAACCACCTTAGGCATCCCTCAAGCACAGGCTCTTTTCTGTCTACATCAAATGGACAGGGCAATGCTCTTGCATGCCACGACAAGATCTCTCTAGGGCTGAGTGCAGCACTTCCCTCAAAGGGAACCACGCACTGGATTCTCCTATGGTAAATACGGAACTCTTACTCTGAGGGCGGGGTCACATTTTCTGTTGCTAACAATAGAATGCTTGAGGCTGGGCGAGGCAGAATGACTGGTTTTGCATAAAGACCCTGCATCTAGATTATAGAGCCAAGAGTTTGGCTAACAGGCCCGTGGAAGAGAGAACAGGAGGCCCCGTGACCCGCCATGGAGAGAGCACACCCTCTCCACACAGAAAAGCATGTATTCCTCTTAGGCCACTGCTGGTGGTTACACGACCACTCGGGTTTCAGAGGGGTTAAACCATGTGCAAGCTACAGCAGTGACTACTTTTGACTTCCGGGAGCCAGTGTAGAGCAGGCCGTCAGTGCACAGCATGCTTCCAGCCCGTTTCTATACTTAATGTATGCGCATTTGTCTGTATGTTGTGTGCATGGGAGGCGGTTTCTGTATGTGCGCTTACAGATGTGTCTATATTTACAGGTGCATGTGTGTATCGATTTCGATCCACCAACTTCCATCTCATGGCCACAGCACTAACTCAGGCTGGCACACAGCCTGGTGTCTTCACCTACTGCCTAAAGGTCCACCCCAGCTCCCTGTGCTCAGTTACCAAACGGCCCTTGCTGGCTTATCCTGCATGGGTTTAACAGCAAAATCACCAACAACAAGAACATGGTGGCATATACTTTTAGTCCCAGCACTCGGGAGGCAGAGGCAGGTGGAGGCCAGCCTGGTCTACAGAGTGAGTTCCAGGACAGCCAGAGCTACATAGAGAAACACTGTCTCGGGCTTGGGGATTTAGCTCAGTGGTAGAGCGCTTGCCTAGTAAGCTCAAGGCCTTGGGTTCGATCCTCAGCTAAAAAAAAAAAAAAAAAAAAAAAAAAAAAAAAAAAAAAAAAAAAGAGAGAGAGAGAGAGAGAAACAGTCTCGAAAAACCACAAAAAGAATTTAGGAAGGCCACACAATACTGTCTGGCTAAACTCAGCGGGGATGGCACAGAACAGTAACACTGACTTTGGTCCATGAGTGACTGCAAAGGTATGGTTTGGGGTTTCAGACATCTTGGTGAGGTGAACGGCAAGTGACTGATGTGCCTTGGGGCTTGCCCATGGCTGCTGCTCAGCTCCCTCTTAGGACAGCCTCTCCTCCTCATCTACTTCACTGGGTAACTGTCCAGAGACCACCAGCTCTATGATGGGCAGTCTTGGCCCTCCTGCAGAAGACCTGGCTGATGGGGAGCAGACAACACAGCACCTGCCCCTCTACCTCCCAGGCCTGGGTCCAGTGTAGAAAGGGCGAGCACTTCCTTAGAGAAGTTGGAGAAAGGTTCAAGACAAAAAGCCCAAGATAACCACTGCTTGAAGCCGTTTGGGATGTCTTCGCTTCCTCTTGCAAGCACCCTGGCCCAGCAGCCCCCTGCGGAATTGTCAGGCCACTTTCGGGCCATTAATCCGGAGTCCTTCAGGAGCAGTTGCATTAGCCCACCCTAAACCCCAGCTGGGCCCTGGAGGGCTGGAAGTGGGCCTGGGAAAGAGCAGTGCCGGAGCCAGCTGGAGCTGGGGCTCCAGGGTGTCCAGTGCACCTTGGTCTGGGCACTGCAGCATACCATCTGTGCTCCTGTGGGGCTGTAGGACAGATACATGGATGGTCACCACGTGAGAGGGCCCACTAATGGATAAGACTGCCTCCTGCTTGAGAGGCCAGGGCAGGGAAGGAGGTGCATCCCATGGAGGATGGAGAACTCCTCACTCCAGTTTCAGTTTGGGTGGGGCTAGGTCAGTTCAGCAGGGGTCCTACTGAATCCTGTCTGTGGGCAGAGCCACTGTGGGTGTGGGGCAAGCCCTTGAAGACAGACCAGGCACTGCCCTCCATGATGACCATGCAGCTTTCTTAATGGAACACAACCGCTGAACTTGGTACATTTCAAGCACTTTAGCCTTCCAGGACAGCAGACTGCTGATGGAACCCATCTTCAGAGGGCGGGCGCCATGTTAATGAGAGGCCAAATTTCATATGCTTGCAAACTTTCCCCCCTGCGGCCTGCTGCTCTGCACACCCCACCCCCCAACAGAAGACTGCATCAGAGGGAAAGAGAGATTTCCATAATTTATAGTACGGCATTTCACTGGGGACAAACGCTAATCTGTACTTACCGATACATTTAAGAAAATGCATCCTCCCGCAAGCCTGCGCCATTTACGACTCTTGGCACAAACCGCAATGCTCAGTCTTCAATTAAGGGACACCTTAGGGTTCATTATCACACAATTGCTCCCTGTGAACCATGCCAAATGCTGTTTTGGCACTGAGCTTGGAAGATGAATTAGAAGGAAGTCTTCCCTGTAATGCCCTCTCCAACTCCCATTACCGCCATCAGCGCTGATGCCCCCTTGGCCGGCCCTCCCCTCCCCGAGTGGCTTTCACTATTCAATTTCTCAACGTCAAACTCGATTCTCTAGAGGTGTAGTTAAAGATGCCACATCTCCTTTTTGTCTTCCGGCTCTCAACAGGCCTCAGTGTGGCCCAGATGGGACACTCTCCCCCACCCCCTTTTGGGCTAAAGGATCCACAGATGTGTCTTTCACTCCTGTGTGGTGCATGCGTGCATACGCCCTCCCCACAAGAGGTTCTCAGCAAGGACTAATGGGCCTGTTGTCTATACTGAGACAATCCCACAGCATAGAGGTACAAGGTGAAGGCTGGGCCATGTAGATGCCCTGGCAAAAAAACTGAATTTCAAGCCAGTTGCCTCCAAAAGGTGATAGAAAACAGCCAGCAAAGCTGCCTTTACCCCATCAGGTCCTGTGGTCAGGCCCGCAGTGGGACTAGAGTGGGTGCGGGTAGTACCCTTCTGTTTTCAACAAAAGGCCTGCATCTGCTGCTGTCCCACCTGAGACAGCAGAGCACAGGTGAGTGGGTCTGGAGTATGCAGCAGCCAGGGAAAAGAACCCAAGAGCGCACACACGGCAGGGTCTGTGTGTGTTTAGGTGAGTGCATGCCTGGCTATGGGGCTGGAGGGCGTCAGGCTCAGGATGGGGTGCAGCCCACTGGATCCCTCCGACAGACACCACACCCTCCCAGGCCCAGGCAGGACTGTTCACTCATTTGCTATGACAGGGAAGCCTCGTTCTTACTGTGGCCCTTAATCAAAAGGTCTTGTGTAAAGCTACACCTAAACACCAGATTGGCTTCAGAAGTCACTGTGCACCAACAGGTCAGGCTGATGCAGGCAAGGTGACCTCAGCTAGGAAGTGCAAGAGCCAGGGTCCAGCAAACAGAACAGACAGAGAACACTTTGCCCACAAGGTATCTTGTGGAAATTTTATTATATAGAGTGTAAAATGAATTGTCAGTCAAATAAAAAGAACACCTTAAAAAAACAAAACAAACGAACATGCATAACATTTCCACTGCCTTTTTAATAGTTAGACATTTCAAGCATTGTAAGGAAAACGAGAGGACTGGAAACTGTAACTTGAGCACATTTCAAACGGAATGTTCCTCGGGGTCAATTCAAAATGCAAGAAAAAATAGCTTCAATTCCGTTTTTTTTTTCTTTAAAAATACATGTTATCTGTACAAGATACACTACAGTAAACATTGGAAATCATATTATCCCTTTTATTAAATCAAAATTATTTAACTCATACTGTGGTTAATACTAGATTTATTTATTTATCTAGTTAATTTGACAAATATTAAGAAAATATTTAAAAGAAAAAAGCAAAAAACACCTTGGAATTAAAAAATAGTTACTACATTTTTATATGGTTTAATGTCCACAGTGTTTGTTAAAAGTTATATTGAATTTCTTTTAATATTAAAAATAACAGTATTTATATTTCTGAGAATAGAGAAAGGCTTTTTGTTTTTAAAACCAGCTTGGAGGTCTAGACATACAACTGCACCAGGTGACGGAGACGGGCAGCTTACATGAAGGTGGACTGCGTCTCTGCGCTACCCTCAGAACGCTAGAAATGACACAACCCACAAACGCCCCTCCCGCACACAAGGACCCGTCTCAGCTCACAATTCACATCATTAATTACAATACATAATAGTTCAGCTTAAAAAAAAAAACCGCAATAAAACTGGACAGCCAAGATACAAGAAATTAGAGGTGAAACACTTAATGAATTTACATTTACGAATATTTAAATACTGCTTAAATTTTTTTAAAGAATTTGTTACAATACCACCTAAGACTTCCAAGCCATTTTTTCTGTTGCAACAGAAAACAGAAACAAACAAACAAAAAAAACTGTAAATAAAAAGACACAAAAATAAAACAAACCCATTATTTGATGAAATGTCGAGACTCTGAGGAGAATTCGGGCACCTGAGCTCGCAGGCTTTGCTCCGAAAGAACCCCAGAGCTTACACATTTGAAGTAACAAAGAAATCATGACACAGAAATTACCAGCAATGTTTAGTAACTAATTTTCCCGATTTTTAGAAAAATTCTGTTAATCTAAATATAGTGTTTCACAGAACAAAACAAAAGTTCTTCATTGAAAGGTTTGCAAATCTAAAAATCTCTGTAACAAACAGGTTTTTCTCACACTGATTTCGGGGAAGAGCCGCTGCAGACGCCCATCTACTGCTCCTGTGGGGGGGAGGGAGAGGGTCAGGCCCAGCACCCGTCCACCTGATGCGGGAGTCTCAGCAGGCCAGGACACTGGGAAGGGTTTCTCCTGAGTCACCAGCCCAACACCAGCTTCCCACAAGGCCTGAAGGCATCAGGTCCCCAGGAAGGTGCCTTGTGGGAGCACCAGGCCCTTCCCCCTTGAACAAAGGCCACAGCCCTTCAGGGGCAACTATTGGAGTGGCCCTGGAGTTCCCTGCAGGCGCAGGGAAAGTCCAGCACTTACTTATAGTTGGGCTACTAAGGCCCGGAGCTGGAGAGAGAGCAGCACCCGAGCAAGCCCAAGGCTGGGACAGAGGGAGACAGAGGAGATCCCCACAGGCCAGTGAGCTCACCCTGGGACTAGGCAAGCACAAAGGCTGGGTGGCATCACGGCACTGGGGACTGGCTACAGACCTGGCTGTGGGCCTGAGCCTGCCCTAAAGTCTGCCCGTAGAAGGCGGCCTGCTGCCTGTAGTACTCGGCCCAGGCCATCGTGTAGTCCGGTGGGGAGCTGGTCTGTGGAGCAGCACTGGTGCTGTGACCTGGATGACAAAGGACAGCAGAGTTGAAGAAAGGGGAGGAATAGAAGGCCCTTTTTCTAGGGCCTTGAGGCATCTGCTTCCCCCTGGATCATTGCTGCCATTTGGAATGCAAAGGTGCTTGCCATATAAAGTGCTGTGGCCTTCTGTTGCCAGCCTCTGCCACAGCCCACCTAGAAGCTACACTTCTACCGGTCTCCCATACACCAACTGCCGGCCCAGCAACTCTGGGTGCCAGAGAATAAACACAGTCACAGTGGGGAGACAGTGCAGTGTGGCACTCAGATGGGGATGGGGGGGGGGTTGGTGTTAAATAGGCCCTGGGTACCCGGAGTGCAGGTTAATAAGTTGTGGGGGGACAGGCACCTGAACTCCCCCACACCCCCAGTAAGGAGACCACCTGACACCTGCCTGTCCAGTCACCAGAGGAGCTAGTGGCCCAGAGAGAACTCTGCCTCCAAGTCCAAGCAGCTTCTGACAGCCTTAACCTGGGCCTTCCAATTGGCCACGTGATTGTTCTAGGCGCAAGCTATTGCGGGGGTGGGGGGGGGGGTGGGGGGGGGGTAAGCCCTACATCAGACCCAGAACTGGCTTCAACTGGAATAAGCCCAGGCCCTTTTTCTTTGACAATCACTCAGGGGACATTTCGGTGTTGGCATCCCTCAAGCCTGACTTGGTTCCTGGTGTTGTAAAGAGAATGGACTTCCACAGGAAAGACAAGCCACCAGCACCCAGGGAAGGCAGCTCCCTTTCCTGCACTGTGACCTCTTGCCTGCCCTGACATGGCCCCCGGGAGACTGTGAGGACAATACAACCAGCAGCCATTGGCCATATCTGGCTTCCTCTGACAGGGCATGGGAGAGAGATCAGGAGGGCACCCAGATGCAGTCCCAGAGGGGTGTAAACCAGGTGACACTGGACAGCAAAGCCACAGCCGGGCAGCGTGCGGTGGCTGCACTCACTCTGCTTTTTGTAATAGTCCTCCCAGGCCTTGCTGTAGTCGGGCTGGCTGCTCTGTGGCTGGCTCTGCTGGCCTATGCAGAGAAGAGAGAGCAGTCAGGCCTTGTTCGTGGACTCCCATCCTGGCTCACGGGCTCCAGCTGGGAAGTACAGTTATCACTGAGCAAGGCTGCAACCAAGGTTATGAGGAGGCGGGGCTGGAAGCCGGTCTTCTTAGACCCGCTGGGCCTAGTTCCCAAGGGACAGTCAGGCCCCCAGGCTCCACCACCGCTCTGGACAAGGAAGGTGACAGGAAGGTGACGGGTGGGAACTCCCTGTGGCATGAAGGCACAGGTCTGGGGTTTGAAGCCAGAGACACACTGTGCATATGCCAGGGGCAGAAGCAACAGGCACCCAACTGGGATCTTGCCTAGCCTTTCTTCATGGGAACAGCACAGAACCCACCCTAGGCACCTTCTTCTCCGTGCTGGCAGGGGAGGCAGGCATGAGGAGATCCCCAGTGTCAAGGAAGGCAGCATTAGGCTCAGGGGCAGGTAAGCAGAGGGATAAGGCAGTGAGGCCAGGGGCAGCGCCTTTGGTGTTGAAGGGTTCACCAAAGCCCTTCACCTCTTTTCAGAATCAGTCTAAGGCAGACAGAGGAATGTGAAGAATGTGCCCCTCAACACAGCTCAGCAGGGTGTCTTTTTTTGTTGTTTTTGTTTTTCGAGACAGGGTTTCTCTGTGTAGCTTTGGTGCCTTTCCTGGAACTCACTCTGTAGCCCAGGCTGGTCTCAAATTCAGAGATCCTCCTGCCTCTGCCTCCCACATGCTGGGATTAAAGGCGTGCGCCACCACTGCCCGGCAGTGTGTCTTATTTTTGCCATGCCAATGAACTGCAGCCCAATGGCAGGGGAAGGTCCACTTGCTGACCTGCAGGGGAGGAACAGCTTCTGTGTTCTTTCCTGCAATGTGGGGCTATGCACAGGACTGCTTCCTGACCTGACTATACACAGGCAGAGCTCAGGCAGACAGGTGGAAGTTGCCAGCCTTTCTTCCTTCCTCCTGCTCACCACCCACACCAAGGACAACCCACCGGGCGTCAGGTTCTGCTGACCCTGACCCTAGTGCTCCTTTTGGGGGCACGGGGAGAAGCAGCTTTCCTCTCAGGGCTTATTTTGGGAACAACAGGGCAGATGGGATCACAATCCTGCCATCCTCCTGCCTGGGGGGAATGTACAGAGCACAACAGTATTGACAGCCCAGCACTGTGAGGACACCAGTTCCGCAAGGCAAGGAGAAAGCAGAGTGCTGGAGAAGATGAGAACCAGGAACCCAGTGCGACAGAGGGTAGGCACTGTCAGGGGCACCTGCTGACAGGGAAGCACTGCCAGAGTCTGAGAACATCAGAGCACATCTGGATGTGGAGATGCGGAGGGAGAGGGCTGAGCACTGCACAAGCCTCCTCTTTTCAGTAGCTTCCTTGGCCAGGTAGCCCTTAGCAGAGACAACTGTGTTGGTTTCCGCAGAAGTCCAGGTGACAGAAAAAGCCCTTTTTCTAAGTCACTGGTGAGAAGTAAGGTCACCTTGACAAAGAAGACTGAGGGAGAGGGGTCCTCAGCAGGGCAGGAGGCTGCTTAGGAGAGCAGAGCCCAGGGAAGTTCTAGGCTGCAGATTCGCCCTCAGAAGAAAATGGAGACAGGAGAGACTCTTATCAAACCACACCCACCATCACTTCCGCCCCTGCCCCAAGCTCTGAGGAGGTCCTGTGACCCAGGGAAAGCAGCCTCACCTTCCTGTGCATTCCCACATGCTAGGCCTGCTGGGCCCCCTTCTCTGGGGAGGAGCTAAACCAAGAGCGAGGCAGCAGAGCACCTCATACCCCCAGTTCCCTGGATCTGTGAGCCTCAGGATGCCACCTTGGCGCACACCCTCACCCTCTTGTGAGTCACTTACTTGGGACTTGTGTGGGCTGCTGCCAAGCCTGGTAAGTGCTGCCCCAGCCCTGGGTCAGAAAAGCTGGAGGGCCACTGTGGATGACAGAAGAGTCCTTTGTGACAGCATGGGTCACACACCCTCCCCCTGCTTTCCGATCATCCTCTTTCCCGACTCCCTCACCCTCCTACTGGCAGAAGGACAGGTAATCACCTACCTCACAGGGGTGCTGTGGGGGGTTCCCGTTAACTTTAGCAGCGATGTTGGGGAAGCCCCTGGGAGGAAAGGCGCTGTAGGCAAGGGAAGAGCATTGTTGATTTGCAGGAAGGGCGGCCCTTTCAACACCCTCCCCTCTACCCAGGCAGTGTGCTCCCTTGGGAAGATGGAGCTCTGAGGCTTTACCCTGTCTGGTCAGTGAGAGAATACAGTGCTGTCCCTGCCCAGGACTTGAATAAGCACTTCTGAGGAGCAGGACAGAGGAGGTTAGAAAGGTAATGGGCCTTCCATCAAGATGGAGGCAGAGGACTCACTTTTGATGTGGCGCAGCTGGTGGCTGGCTGAAGGGGCTCTGTCCGAAGGCTGCAGGGGCTCCGAGGCCGGCACCCTGTGTGAGCACAGAGGAGCTCTCACCCCAGTCACCACGCCACTGTGCCCTCTGCCCAGGCCCGCCCAGGGAAGCCCACTATGGGAGGGAGGCAAGTCAAGTGAAGGAGACAGTTCTGCGCTCACACTAGCTTCCTTCCCCCAGCAGACGGTGTCTGCAGTGGTGGCTCTGCCCCTCAAATGACCAAGACCACCACACAGCCAGTCCTGGCACCACCACGATTGCCCTGGCATGTCACCCTGGGGGAGGACCAACCTGCTTGACTCTCCCGTCAATTTAGGCTGGCCCAGGGCTCTTTCTGCCATTCTACGTCCCCATTGAGGTGAGCAGTGGCCCATCTGTCCTCCATCAACACTCCCTTTCTTTATCTGCTTTGAGGTGCCTGAAACTAAAGCCAGAGTCAATGAAAGCTGCCTGCAGGGCTGGTGGCCAGGGTGACGCCTGAGGGAGCCGGGGGGCAGTGCTGGGGGAAGACTGCTGTCCGGCTGCTCATCTATGCCTGCAAGGACATGCTCGAAGGGCTGACTGCTGGGGCCTTGGCCAGTCACGCCACGGGCTTCTTTGATTGCATCTGAGCCTGGCATTCCCTGAGCCTTGGACTTTCCCTTTGGCAGAGGAGAGGCTGCCCCCATGTGATGCAAGGATGGAAAGGCACAGGACGCACAAGGTTCTGGGGGAAAACAGGTACCTTGGACATCCAAAAGCAAATCCAGCTAGTATAAGCCAGGTGGGGAAAGGCCCGTGTACGTACGCCAACTTTCTCATCTATGAGATGCCTGGCCACCTCGATCTGCTGAGGAGCGCCCCTGATGGTAAATATCCGCAGGTTGGGGTCGGTGTTAGGAGGGGGGTTCCGCTGAAGCTCCACATGCGCACCTGATTGCTGGTTGATGTTTTTTATGTTCTCGCCCCCTGCAGGCAAGAGATATAGTTGATTGGCTCTGAGTGCGTGGCCTATGTTTCGGGGAGGCTGGGAGGTGCATGCTAACTCTTGCCCACAGATAGCCACTTTCTTCTGCTTACTGCACAAGGGCCCTGACAAAATTCAGGGCTTCTTGTTCACAACACTAGCTATTTGGAATGAAGATGACCGTTTGGAACTGGACTGAGGCCTGTGGCCACAGGGCCCTATAGAAGGGTCTGGGCCCAAGGCCCTTGGATCTGCCTTGAAATCCACCCAGAGTCACTGTGAGAATGGAGACCTGATGGCCCTACCATACACAATGGGGCCTTCAGCCTAGGCAGGGGCTGCCCTCCCTCCACAGGTCAAATGGGCGGCTACAGGCCCCACCAATGCCTGGAACCCACTCTGGCCGTCAATACCACACCCTGTTCCCTCTCAGGTCCCTCTGCCTTGGTGGGGGATGGGTCCAGACAGAAGCAGTAGAGAGGGGAGGAGGCGGGCACAGGACCTAGATGGAGCAGGGTGACGGGAAGTTCGTTGTTCTCTCTGAAAACCGGCAAGTCTCAGTCTCTTAACCAAACTCCACCAGCCAGGGAACAATGACCCAATTCTTGTGAAATTTCACAGAACTTACAGGTCCACTACATCAACTCTGTGGGAGCGGCGTATAGCCAGAACACAAGGAAAACCTGGAGCACAATCTTACAAAACTGAAGAAGATAAAACGCTGAAGGTCTGGTGGTGTACAAGAGCAGGGAGTCCACGTGTCAAAAGCAAAGCCCACGGGCTGCTGTGTGTGTTGGGTTGCCCCTGCCCACTCCAATGCAACCCAGCTTGAAACGACATGTGTAACAACACACTCCAACCTTCCCTACTGCCTTAGCAGATCAAAGGTCATCTAAGCATATCACCAAGCGAATGTGAGGTGGCTGTGGAGGAGAGAGAGAGAGAGAGCAAGGACGAGCTTTGTCTTTATTTCAGCCCGCAAGGGTCATGGAACAAAGATGGAGGTGAGTCTCAGGGAGCCTTCCTGAAGGCGGAGCAGCCAGGCTCGCGGAGGACAGACTAGGAGCTGATAGCTGAGTGTTTGCTGCATGCCCAGTAGAGCTCCTGGGTCCTTTTCTCAGAGGCTGGCACCCTTCATCATCTCTGCCCCATGAAGAGGGAGCAGCTTTGTTCCCAATCAAGTTTTGGAGACTCGACGAGGACAAAGAAGCAGCAGAGACCACGACCACAGGCACCCGCACCAGCCTGACCTCAGATGGCCCCTGGCCAGCAGGCAAGAGCAAGTGTGCCCGAGACTGAGGGCTGGCAGACTCCAAACAGCAGCACACCCCCCCAGCAGCCCACCTTAGCCAGGCCAGCAGCCCAGGATGCTCTGCTGGGACCTCAGGAGCATGCTAATCGGTATGGAGGCACTGCCAAACTGCACGGGGCCAGAAGGAGTTAATTTAAGTTCATCGTCCTTCAACATGAGGTCACTAGTTTGGCACATGGTGGCTGTCTTGAACTCAGTCAGCAGCCTGCTCCTTTCTTCCACCTGATGGGGGGCAGAAGTGACCCACCAGCGGCTGGCTGGATGTGAAATCGTAAAGCAATTAATCAAAGCTGCTAAAAGGCCTGGCTGACAAGGGCAGGGCTGGCCAGACTATCTGTCAATGTTGCTGTGTTTATCATGGAAATCCAGCAGGGGCCCGGGAGGCTGTCCAAGGGCAGAAGCTGGGAGAGCTCTGCCTGGTTGCCTGGACTCTCTCCTCCAGCCACATGCTTTTCCCAAGAAAAGGAAACCGCTCACATGAAAGATCCTCTCCATGGCCACCTTAGCTTGTAGTGGGTCCCAGATTGTTAGTGAACACAGGGACAGGGTGCCAGCCACCACTTCACTCTGTTATCACTGTCCTCTAGGCCCTACTTGGGTGGCTCTGTGGAGGATGGACAATGATACCACACACACGCACACACAGAGACGGGGTGCTTCTGCCAGGGTTTGTTTTGCTGAGACACACTCAAATGAAAATACCACTGACAAGATGGTTTTCAAAAGGTCAAGACCCCTATATCTGATCCCCTATCTATAGGTATCAGGTAAATGTGATCTCTTAGTACGTCAACGGGCTGGGTGGGGTGTGGGAGGGGTGTGAGAATGTCTACAATTCTAAGTAGCTAGCAGGATCAATGATACATTTAGCAGCATGTACCAGAGAACAAAAACAAACTACTCCATTTGTCACCATGCTGCAATTTCAGCAAGAGTAGAAGAGGTTCTCAACCTGTTGGTTATGATCCCCAACAGGGGTCACATATCAAATATCCTGCATATCAGATATTATCACTATGATTCATAACAGTAGCTATGAAGTAGCAATGAAATCATTTTATGGTTAGGATCATTACCACATTAGGAAATTAAAGGGTCACAGTGCTAGGAAGGTGGAGAACCATTGACCTAGAGGCTGAGACAGGAGGGTCACAAGGCAGAGGCAGTCTGGTCTCAAACCAAAACCCTCCTTCATTATTCCTACCATCCAATAATCTGAAAGACATAGATACAAGAGAGTAATATCTTGAAAGAGCACAAACACTCCCCCAAAGAGTGGTAACTACAGATCTGGGGGGGGGGGGGGGGTCCTGTGGTGGTATTACCCACTTAAGCTCCCAAGGTCACAGGGGCAGGGTTAAGATCTGCTGGTGGAGACAGCCCAAGTCACATTCCCTGTAGTAAGAAATCGGAGGGACTCTGGGGAGAAGCCATTTTCTCCCTATGCTGTCAAATGAATAATGAAGGAAAACACAAAAGCCAATGTCAAACAGAAGTCCTGTCGGTAGTAAAGTTCAGCTCAGTGCTCGCAGGGAGACCAGCCAAGTCTAGGTGGTCCATGGCCTACTCTGCCTGCTCCCTCCTGGCTGACAGGGAGGACGGCATTGTGCAGGCTAGAATGAGGCATTCCACCCAATGCTCCAAACTGCCCCCAAATGTCTAGGATCAGCTAGCAAGCCAATCTCTACTCCTCTCACAGGTTGTCTGCATTGCTGAAAGCCTCCTAGGCTGTCCACGAAGACCCAGCGGCCAAATCCAGTGAGGGAAAGGTGACATCCATGTCAGAAAGCACTCTGTGGAAGGCATGAGTGTTGGTGACTTCTCAGGGCCACGTTCATTCCAGTCTACAGACAAGGCCCTCACTCAAACAGGTGCTTTGCTTTTTTTTTTTTTTTTGTCACTCCATTGTGACAAGCCAAGTCAGGGACCCCAGAGGATGCCATGAATACAGGCCTGAGAGTTGGCTTCCCTTTCCTTGAGCAGCTGCAGGGGACAGAAACCCTGACAGTTGCCTCTTACCTTTGCCAATTACAAGGCCACATTTATCAGCTGGCACTGTGTATGTAATTTCCTGGACACTACCAGGAGTGCCCAAACTCCAGTCCCCACGGCCACGGCCTCTTCCTCTAGCTACCGCCAGGCCTCCAAGGCCATCTCTTTCCTGGTAAGGAAAAAAGGTGACAGTGAGGACGTCTGCCACTGCCATCAGCATATCTCCCCTCTCTGGTGAGAAGGCAAATGACAGGGTACACCAACACCACACACCGGACCCTCAGCACTTCAGACTTGGAGGCTCGAATCCAGAACAGAATTAACCAACACCTTGTTATAAAAAGATACCTGTGGGCACACACAGCATCCACATACCTCCCTAAAACCGGAAGCTAGAAACTCTGGGCTGAAGCCTGGGACTGTCTACTTTTCATTACAAGGCCCTCAAGATTAGGCTTTACTCAAAGTTGAGGCTAACTCATGGTGGGTCTGTCGGAGCAGATAATGGATACCAAAGAGCTACCGGTAGCATCTGAGAGGGGCTGGAGGGGCAGTGTGTGACTCAACTTCTCCACAAGGCTGTCATAGAGGACAATGGCCAGCAGAAAGGATCAAAGGACTTAAGGAAAAAGTTCTTGGTCTGGTGGGATAGCTCAGTGGTAAAGACTGCTGTCCTGAGCTTAACCCCTGAGACTCACTTGGCGGAAGGGGAGACCCAAATCCTCCAAGTTGTCCTTCAACTTTCACACATAGGCCACGGCATGCGAACATGAACATGTAATAAGTACAAATGTAATTAAAAAAAAAAAAAAAAAAAAAAAGGCGGTCTTATTACCAAGAAGGCGTAGAAAGATCCTCAAGAGTGATTTCTTAGGAAGGATGGTGGCAGGTGTCCATAACCCCAGAGAATTAGGGGGACAGACTGAGGCAGGGGGACTGTGAGTTGGAAAGCCAGCCTGTCTTTAAGACTGAGGGACAGAGGACTAGAATGGCTGGCCCAAGGCTGGTGTGTCGGGAATAACGGGAGCGGCAGCAATGGCAACAGGAGACATCAGGCCTCACTCCGGTGTCCGGGAAGCAGCTCCCGCACCGTGAAGAAGCACCTGCTGACTAGGAAGCATGGCTTCCTGAGGGTTTCTGCTCGGACTCTGGCATGGGCAGCCAGCTTTCCCAAGACAGACAGAGGAAAAAGGTGCTCTTCAGCTTTCAAACTTAGAAAAGGTGTTACATGTTCAACCCTAAGAAACTACCAGGGTTCTGGTTAAAACCCAAGCCCTACCTGGTGATCATGGACTGAACAGGAGGTACACATTTACAACTGAGAAGTAGTCCTTCACCCCTGAGGCTGCTGGCAGGAGCCTCCAGGCACCTCAGAACTTGCCAGAGGTCATGAGCTAATGGACAAGTAGGTAAGATGAATTCCCAAACTCTGCCCAGTCCTTTGTCTCTAGTTACTGATATGTCTTCACCCTTGTAGTCCTGGAGGACGTGCTAATCTACCACATGTGCTCCCTACCACAAGTCCTCAGGTTAACAGATGCTACCGACAACATAAAAACTCACCTACATTCTAAAGGCAAGCTTGGAACAAGTATAAGAGCAGGATTAGGGGAACATATCTCTAATCAATACTTGTGAGAGGCTGAGGCAGGTGATCCTTATGAAGGATCACCATAAATTCCAGGCCAGCCTGTGCTACAGGGCTAGGCCCTGAATCAAAATGGCCCCCAAAACATCAACAACAGCCGGGCGGTGGTGGTGGCACACGCCTTTAATCCCAGCACTCGGGAGGCAGAGCCAGGTGGATCTCTGTGAGTTCGAGGCCAGCCTGGTCTACAGAGCAAGATCCAGGACAAGCAACAAAATTAAACAGAGAAACCCTGTCTCGAAAAACCAAAAAAAGAAAAAGAAAGGAAGGAAGGAAGGAAGGAAGGAAGGAAGGAAGGAAGGAAGGAAGGAAGGAAGGAAGGAAAAACCCATCATCAACAAAACCCAGGTGTATGAAGACATGGTGCCATCAGGGGTAGAACAGGTTCTGCTCTATGTCCTGGATTCATTCCATGTTGGTTTTATGTCAAATACACCTGACTGTTGGAAACAGGCACTCTGCCATGACACTGTCATCTACCAAGCTCATGCTTCAGAACCACATAACTGGGGATGGAAAGATGCTCAGAGGACCCAGGTTCAGTTCTCAGCACCCATGCCAGATGGCTTACAACTACCTGTAACTCTAGTTGCAGAGGATCCAACATCCTCTTTCAGCCTCCATGAGTACTACATACACGTGGTACACACACATGCAAGCAAACACTCATACACATGAAGTAAATATAATTACCCAAACAAAACAAAGTTAAAAACAAATTTAAAAATCTCAAAAGCGCCGGGCGGTGGTGGCGCACGCCTTTAATCCCAGCACTCGGGAGGCAGAGGCAGGTGGATCTCTGTGAGTTCGAGGCCAGCCTGGTCTACCAAGTGAGTTCCAGGAAAGGCGCAAAGCTACACAGAGAAACCCTGTCTTGAAAAAAAAGAAAAAAAAAAAAAACAAAACTCAAAAGCTTTATGTAAAGTTGCAATTCTAACAGCTGAGTTTGATCCTCAGGACACACATGATGGGGTCTCCAGAGAACTGACTGCCACTTCCATGCCATACCATGTACACATCACATATACGAATAAATGCATGTGCGCGCACGCACGCACGCGCACACACACGCGCACACACACGCGCGCACACACACACACACACACACACACACACACACACAATAAATGTGTAGTGAAAACCTAGATTCTGGTCAATAAAGGCAGGGGGTAAAAAATCAGCAAAGAGCCGGGCGGTGGTGGCGCACGCCTTTAATCCCAGCACTCGGGAGGCAGAGCCAGGCGGATCTCTGTGAGTTCGAGGCCAGCCTGGGCTACCAAGTGAGTTCCAGGAAAAGGCGCAAAGCTACACAGAGAAACCCTGTCTCGAAAAACCAAAAAAAAAAAAAAAATCAGCAAAGAAAAGCACTGAGGCAGGAAGAGGCAGATGTGGAAAAGTCTCCAATTAAGGAGACTGAGTGGTCAGAGCACCATGGTGCAGCACTGTGTGTTTCTGGGTGGGCTCTGAGACCCAGAGTTCTGGACCCACCTGCGCTGTGAGAATGAGCTCATTGATGATGTGCGCTGCATGCTGACACCGATCTGGAGGGCCCATGACCTGTGCTGCTCTTTCTGGACTAATCCCATCGTCTGTGGAACCAAATGAGAGAGAGTAAGGAAAAGTCCGAGATCAAACAGAAAATAAAATCTCATCTCACAGTCTGAACTCTTGGAGCAGTGTGAGGAGGACTGTGTATGAGTGTGCCTTTTTCACACGTGTCAGAGTAACACCCAGTCACTGTGCAAGCACAGATGACCCAGCCCTTGGGAGGTTGAAGCAGGCCAATAACGAGCTCAAGACCAGCTTAAGCAACATAGTAAGATCTTTGGCCCTTCCATGAAAGGTTTATCCTTCTTTGTGATATTAAATTGTTTCTGATTTGTATAAAATCAAAATGGTGCATTTTGTAAAGGAATCTTCACTTAGCAAAATTACAAACTGAAAATGCTTCATAGTTTATGTGTGTGTGTGTGTGTGTCTGTGTCTGTGTGTGCTAGAAACCACAGGCCAGAAAGATCAAGCCAGTACACAACCAAGGAAGGGCACGATGACTAGGAAGGAAGATTGCCAAAGAGAAAGAAAATACACACAGCTAACACAGCCCTGGGTAGATCTAACACCAAACTAACCTGGTTTGAATTGGATCCTCACACCAGCATCATTCTGGATCTTTTTGATCATTTCTCCATTTCTTCCTATGACAATCCCAACAGCAAACCTAGGCACAGACACCTAGACAGACAGACAAAACCATCAGAGCTTCTGCACATATGGCTTTGTAAAGACTTAAATTCTTAAAAATTCATTTATTCTAATTTTATGTGTGCTGATGTTTTGCCTGCATGTATGTCTGTGTGAGGACATCAGATCTTGGGAGTCAGAGACAGCGGTGAGCTGACAGGTGGGTGCTGGGAACTGAACTCAGGACCTCTGGAAGACCAGTCAGTGCTCTTAGCTGCTGAGCCATCTCTCCTGATCCAATTTACAATTTTTAATTGTGTATGTGTATGTCTTGTATGCATACAAGTACAAGTACCTACAGAGACAGTGTGGAGCTAGTTACAGGTGTCTGTGAGCTGTTGTGTGGGTGCTGGGATCTGAATCCAGGTCCTCTGCAAGAGCAGCTAGCATTCTTTTTTTTTTTTTAAAGATTTATTTATTTATTATGTATACAGTGTACTGTTTTGCATGTATCCCTGCAGGCCAGAAGAGAGCACCAGATCTCATTACAGATGGCTGTGAGCCACCTTGTGGGTGCTGGGAATTGAACTCAGGACCTCTGGAAGAACAGCCAGTGTTCTTAACCTCTGAGCCATCTCTCCAGCCCCGCAGCTAGCATTCTTAACTGCTGAACCACCTCTCCAGTCCCTGGCCTTTTCTTTTAAAAGGAAAGACTTTAAATAAACCACTTAGTTTTTATTACAGTGCAATTTTGGAATTAAAATAATAAAGCATTTTTTCCTTATAGAACAATTTCTGTGATTGATGATTATGAGTCTGTGAAACTGCATACAAATATATGCCATTGGCTCTACCTGTGGCCATTTACAGTCTTGTTCTTTATCTGTAACTGTGGTAAAATGCACAGGCCATAGCACCCGCTACTCAGTCATTCAGAAGTGCAGAGCCCAGTGGCCTCAGTGGAGCCATGATGCTGTGGAGTGACCAGCAGCACCATCTAGACCCAGGGCCTACTGGTGACCACAGGAACTCTACCACTGAACACCACCACTTGCTTCTACTATGTTCTCCGCTTGACTTCACCTTGTCCAGAGTGGTCACTTGGCCACTGTGAATCTAGCTGAAGGCACTAGGTGTGATGTTTGCACGGTGTGGCATAAAGGACAATTGCAGGACAGATTTTGATAGCATTTCATCTCATCAATAAAACAAGATTCCAGGTTTGATATAATCATAACACATTATCGCTGTGAAAACTTGGATTTTGGCTCCTATTTAGACATAAACGTAACCTTTAAAGCAAAACTGTGAAAACCAGAGGAATGACCTGCCCTGTAAAAGCAGCTGGTTTTCCATGCTTGTTTCTTCTTTATACCCTTGAGCAGTGTGTGTACTCTTGAGTTTTGAAGATGAGAAAAACTACATAACCAGTTTGAGGCTAAGGAGCTGAGAGAAGTGTGACCAGTGGTTTTAGTGACATTTTTTTTTTTTAAAGATTTATTTATTTATTATGTATACAGTGTTCTGCTTGCATGTATGCCTGCAGGCCAGAAGAGGGCACCAGATCTCATTACGGATGGTTGTGAGCCACCATATGGGTGCTGGGAATTGAACTCAGGACCTCTGGAAGAGCAGCCAGTGCTCTTAACCGCTGAGCCATCTCTCCAGCCCGACATTCTTTTTTTTGAGACAGGATCATATCACTATGTAGCCCTGGCTGGCCTGGGCTTGTTATGTAAACCAGGCTGGCTTTGAACTCAGCCTTGCTTGCCCACTGACCTGTGGGTCCAGCTCACCTCTATACTACCTCCTCCTGCTCTGGAGGTGAAATCGCCACGCACACCCCGAAAGTCAGCCTGGTCTTTCTCTCGGATGATCTCTAGGACCATTTCTCTTGCTTGCTGCACAAACAAAAACAGAAAGTACCAATGGGGAAAATTCTGGAAAAAGACAGCACAGGATGAAAAGCCAGGATCAGGGTCAGGATCAGTGTGATCCAAGACTGTGAAGGCGCTCACTGCTGACAAGGATGAGAGACTTAGGGGACATACTCCAGCTACTCTAAGGTTCAAACTCTAAGAGTCACCTACTCTACCTGCAGCTGGGTCAACACAGCTAAGGTGAGTGGAAACCCTTCCAGTGGCCCCAAGTGTTTCCAGCAGAGGCTCCTTGAGCCAGAGGACAGACAGGAACAGGCAGCACAGGTCACAGACACAGCTCCTGCCCTCAGAACTCTTAGATCTTTGCTTTTATACATGAAGTACTACTAGGGGTGGAACCTAGGACTATGCACCATCGTAGGCACATGGTATATGACTGAGCCACACCCTAGGCCCAGCTGAACTGCAGCAGGTACCGACCTCTGATTAAGATGGCATCATAGGCCAGGTGGTGGTGGTGACGGTGGTGACGGTGGCGGCGCATGCCTTTAATCCCAGCACTCAGGAGGCAGAGCCAGGCAGATCTCCGTGAGTTCGAGGCCAGCCTGGTCTAAAGAGAGAGATCCAGGACAGGCACCAAAACTACAGAGAAACCCTGTCTCAAAAAAAAATAAAAAGAAAGAAAGAAAAAAGAAAAAAGATGGCATCATAGACCTGAAAGCACGAGGCAGACCCTACTGTCCTCTCCCAAAGGTACGTGCATCTGCTCACACCTGTTTTTAATAACAAATGGACTGACTCTGTGCTTGCTTACCCTGCCTAGGACCTCAGGTTCAATGCCTAGGACTGCAACCAAACAAAAGGAAAAGAGAAATGAAGACCTTAAAATCACAATTATTTCCCTGCAGATTTATGAAGAAAGATCAATAAAATAGGGTTGTTTTCCTGAAGAAGACACTTTCCAAGAGGCTGGGGATGTACATGTGTGTGGAGCTCTAGGTTCAACCTCTAGCACTGTGTCAGCTGTGACACAGAGGCTGGGTACACCTGGAAACTTGAGTGATACAAAGACAAGATGTAATCGGATCGTGTACCCATCTATGGCTTGTGTTGGCAGGAGGAACTGTACACTGTGATTTTTAAGAGAGGGTCTCTCACTGGCCTTGAGGTCTCCAAGTAGGCCAGGCTGGCTGACCAGAGAGTTCCCAGGATCCACCTCTCTCTACTTCCCTGAGCTGAGATTAACAAGTGCCATCCACACCTAGCTGCTTCTTTTCTTTGGGGATCGAACTCAGGTCCTCATTCTTGCTTGCAAGGCAGTCAATCACTTTATCCATTAGATCATTTCCCCAACCCAGTAATCTTATTTTAAAGAAGGCTGGAAGCTCTGGGGAGGAAGGGCCACTGGGAGCAGCTGGCCTGAAGGGAGGGAGGAGCTACATACAGCACCGCCAGCCTTCCACCTAGCTTTCACTGGTGCCACCCTGTGCAGCGAGAGCAGCTGAAGGAGAGGGGAGTGAAACGGAGGGACTGGCCAACTTCACTGGGCCAAAGTCCAGTGCTTTTTGTTTTGGTTTTTCGAGACAGGTTTTTCTCTGTGTAGCCCTGGCTGTCCTGGAGGCTCAGAGATCTGCCTGCCTCTGTCTCCTGAGTGCTGGGATTAATGGCGTGCACCACCACTGCCCAGCTCCAGTGCTCTTAAAGAAGCACGACAGGTTAGATGCAGTAAGGAGACGGGCTGCAGATAACAGAACACCAGCATTAACCTGACAACATATACCCACAGACACTTACATTTCTGTCCCAGTCAGAGGGAGTGTGCAGCCACAGGCTGAACCCTGCTTTCCCGCCCAGGAAGCTGTGCTGAGGGCAAACACGCCTGGCACTTGTTTTCATCTGCACCTCCAGCTGGCCTGGATTTAAGCTGACCACGGCACAGCAAGGCTAACAGTATACTTAATCTGGGTTACCCAGTATCCTCTGCAATGTGAAAACTAGCGCATGCACTGTCCCCACCTAGAAATTACATCTCAATCACATTTCCCCAAAGATGTACCACCAGCTATCAACAACCACTTGGGGTAGACCAGCAATTCTCAACCTGTAGATCGAGATCCCCTTGGATGGTGGTGGTATTGAATGACCCTTTCATAAGGGTCGCCTAAGACCACCAGAAAACACAGATATTTACATTACCATTTATAACAGCAGCAAAATTACTGTTATGAAGTAACCACGAAAATAATTTTTGGTTGGGGGTCGCCAGAACATGAAGAACTGTATTAAAGGGTCACAGCATTAGGAAGATGAGAACCACTGGGCTAGACAAATCTAACCCACAAGTTCTTCTTACCTGTACTTTAAACGGGTCTCCAGTGATGCGGAGAGGCTTGTCTGCTCCTGTGGGCAGTGGGCCATCCTGGATCATGACCATTTTCACACCTGTCCGCTCCTGTTGGGGAACATGCAAGCACACAACCCTCAATGTCATGGGGAAAACGCACGATGCCTCAAGAAGCAGGACTGGGCCAGTTCATCCTAAGTCTACGCCACACTTCCCATAAGGTAATGCCTTCTCCCCTGGACGGGCTCTGGGACAAAACTCCAATGTGCCCCTCCTCTTTACCCATGTCTGGAGTATTTGAACTCTAGGGTGCTGTTCCTACTGAGAGCTACACATTAAGTGTGTGTTCTGCTTATCAAGAGCTGATGACAACCTGTGCCCACCATGCAACCAAGTGCTGCTGCCTCCCAGGCACCGGTGAGACGGGTTCTCAAACCACCCAGGGGTCCAGGGCTAACCAGCTGATATGTGGGTTCTATGACATCAAATCCTAAGCTTTTACAATTTACCCGAGGTTTTAGGAGGCCTTCTACAAGGCTTGGGGTATAACACACAGGCCATCACCTACAGCTGTCAAGTCCCAGAGTTCTGAAGTCGGCTTAGAACTCAGTAGAACATGCACTCAAATGAGTAGCTAACCATTCTCGGGTCAGTGTGGCTGCGCATATTTGGCTGGGGACATATACACTGCCTTAGCTGGACATGTTCAATCTCAAACATTCTTGACTAGAGGTGTCTCAGTTTATATAAAAGGGTTCTGCAGCTGAGAGCGGCCTCTTTATTGTGACTCACAGAAACGGGAATGAGTACCTCCCCAGCTCTGACTACAGTAAGGCGGTCACTCCTCTTTCTATAGACAAGGATCGTGAGTACTTGAAAAGTAAATGAGCACTTTTGGGCTTTTTGTTTGTTTAAGGTCTCTTACTGTAGCCCTGGGTAGCCTGGAACCCACAGAGGTCTACCTGTTTCAGCCTCCTGAGTGCTGCTGGGATGTTGGGGGAAGGTGTGCACCACAACTGGGTTTTTACAGTTGTCTGTTCGACTATATAATTTTTGAGATAGGGTCTTACTATACATAGCCCAAACCAGCTTCCAACATACATTCTTCCCACTCAAGCCTCCTAAGTGCTGAGACTCCAGGCCTGTGTCACCATACTTAGCTATAAATGAACCCTTCCCCCAAGCCAGGGTCTCATGAAGCCAAGGATGCCCTCAAACTCATTATATAACCTAGGCTGGTCTTGAACTCCTGATCCTTCTGCCCTCAGCCCCTCAGGTGCTGAAATTCCAGGTATGTGCCCCTTGTCTGTCTAAACAAGTATGTTTAAGAGCACAGAATCAATGCTAACAAGGAGCAGATTTCAAGAGTCCCAACTCCAGGCTGTCCCATGGTGTCTCTCCTGCCCCATATGAGGAGGGGCTTGGAGGGAGCCATGGCTCTGCTCATGAGGCCAGCCCAGCTCAGCACATGGTATCACACACCTGCAGCTGCTTGATTGTCTCCCCTCCTTTGCCGATGACCAGACCCACTTTAGATGCAGGGATGAGAAGCTCCTGGATTGTGCTGTTGCTATCTATGTCATTGTGAAAGCCAGGGCCATTCCGACAGCGGTCCACAATCTGCCCCAGGAGCCGTTTGGCTTGTCTTTGGGAGGGAGAAAAAAAATCACAAGAGACCCAGCATTAAATGGATGTTTAAGGTCTTCTGGGAAGGGAGATGGTGCCGGGAGAAACACGAAGGAGTCAAGGCAGCCCTCCATCCAGCTCCAGCTCCTGCCTCACAACCTGGGGGTCTGAACCATTCGCCATGCTACAGAACTACAACTCAAAAGCAACACACACCGTGCCACATCACTGCAGTTTCCATGTGGAGCGTCAAGGAGCAGGCCGCTGTCGGACCCCATCCCTACATGTCCTGCCTCCTACTTTCAATGTCAGCAGCTCTGGTGGCAGAAACCTCCTATTCCTGTGTTCGTCTCTGTTCCCCAGCCCAGCACGACCCTCACAGGGAAACACTCCGCACACTTGTTAACCAGGGTGAGGGAGAGAAAGAGCGATGAGAAAGACGGAAGAAAGCAAGGGTTAGTAGCCACGCTTGAGCTCCTCAACTCCAATGTCTCCCTGTGGCCAGCAACACTGCTTTAGGACTTCCAGTTAAGCCCACAACACCTCCAGTGTAGTTTTGGGGCACAAGGGGCAGTGTCCTGCTGCAGCTGTACTCCAGGGAGCACCTGACTGGTGCACCCCGCAGGGACTTTGTGCTTCACACCCCACTCTCTGTCTTCATCTCTGCAATGTGGCAACAGTACAACCCAGCCTACCAATGTCATATGTTGGGATGATTCCCTTTTCTGCACCAGAATCTTCCCTGGCTGTTATTTGCAGAATTTATTCTTTAAATCATGCACCATCTATTTTTTGGTTCCTCTGATAGAAACAGATTCAGCAACCAGACAGGCTGGATGAGTTGAAGAAAAAGATTCCTCTTAAAGCTTAATTCTCAAGCCTCAACTCCTCGGGTAGATACAAAGTAGGAACGCTTAGAAGAGTAGGAAGGACATGCCGTCTTTTGCAGTCTTGAGCCTTTGTGTAGAATCATCTTGTGGGCTCTCAGCTGCAGCAGCTTTTTAGTATTTTGCTAGTGTACTAGATTAACCTGTGCTGGAAAAAAAATGCCGCTACTCCAGCAAAACCATCCAGCTTGCCCTATAATGCACACCTGCCAGTGATATTTATTCTGGTTCACTGCTTGCAATGTTACAGCAGAACAAGAGAATTTAAACCCATCTAGGCTCCCTGAGAAATGGAAACAATAAAACAACCCTACCTATTGAGTCAGACATAATCTCAGCTTCCCCATCCCTAGTGAAGCACCACTGTACAGATCCAAAGAGGGAAGCGGACCACTCCAGCCCGCACGGTCTCCCTCCTTAGGAGGTACTTGGGTTATGAGTCTGTGTTTGGTACAGGGCTCTGAGCAAGCATGTACCAGGATAGGAGATCAAGGCAGATTATCAGGGCTCTTGCCAAGAGCCTCCAAAGCCAAGGCATCTGCTGGTTCACAAGGCTCTGTGAGTGGAGCAAAGGCCACAAAGAGTGGATTCACTTGGTTCACAAATACCAGAAGGGTAAACAGATCAATCAGCCCAGGAAAAAGTCCTGGTGCCCGGTTCTCTGTTGCTCACAGTGATCCATTCCTCTGACCCAGGCCTGTTCGGTATGGGAGGTGTTAACAAGGAGGTGGCTGGCCAGAATGAGTGTCCACTGAAGTCCCTGGTTTATGGAGAGGCCACGACAGCTGGAAGGCATTCTAGGCTTGTGTGTCTGAGGTAACAGAAGAGCTCTCCTGGCATGGCACCCTCCCAGGCCTTCCTCCTACTGGAGGTGTGCTGTGGGGCAGACTCAGCACAGACCGACAGTCTGCAGCAACAGTTTGCCCTTCCATCTCTCCTCACTTGGGGAAGGAGGAAGAAGAGTAAAAGGAAAAAGTAAATAAAACAAACTTACTCAATACTTTCTGGGGTTCCGGTAAGTACACAGGGCCTCTCTGGAATCCCAGAACTCTCTATAAGAAGAATCAAGAAGATGAGGTGTGTTGGTGGGCAGCAGGCAACCGTGTGCCTTTGCCTCTGTGTATAGACTATCTCTCTGGGGCTGGTTCCTACACCACCCCCACCGAAGCACAGTCTCCCAAAAAGACCAGTTGGCTTTGCTGGGGAACAGAACTTTAGTTCTCAATGTAGAGACTGAGCCCCACAGGGGAGCCAGGAGGACACGGCAGAGCTCTGAGAGTTGGTCCTAATTACCAAGCTCTACTCACTCTGACCTGCCCAGATGCTCTGTAGCATCTGAGTCACTTCATTCTGCTTCCCTCGCTATGTCTGCAGAGCGGTCTCATGGACACAGGTCTGCAGACTGCTCTGAGGGGTGCTAGTAAGGACTTCATAAGCACATCAGAATTAGAGCAGCTACTGTATCCATAGCCCAAGAAATTGGCAGCAGGGATGCAGCATAGGTCCTGGACCATTTGACACAGAGGAAAATCTTTGTTTCCAACACCCACATGTTTTAGACTGACCCTAAAAACTCCTTAAAAAAATCCGTCCTCAAAAAGTGGAAGGAGGGAACTGGGGACATAGCATTGTCCTAGCCTATGTGAGGCTCTGTTTGCAGTCCCCCGCACTGGAAAAAACGAGCGAACAAAATTCTCAATAGCTAACAATAGCTAACAGCAATTACTGCCTTCAAGATATGGCAGTGAGTATCTTATAAATGACAAACAGCTTCTACCACAATGTTTCCAGACCCTTCCTCTCAAACAGAAAGAAGACACACTCAGATGACATAATAAAACTACAAATAAAATAAAAACTCTTCTTCAATCTGTGTCTTTCAACATCGCATGATCAACACTGACCGTGTTGTGAGAGGTCCTGAAAGGTGTCTGATAGACACTCAATTAGCTAGGACCCCCGCTGTCCTCTCTCCACAAAGTGGAAGGGTGGTTGTACAGGGAAGCTGGGTGCAGGCCCCACCATGCCTGGCATCACATTCTGGTGCAGAAAACATAGGTACTAGCCCAGCCGGCAGGTATCAGAAGAGGCCATGCTGGCCAGAGTTGAGTGTTGCCCTAAAAGGCAGGAGAGAACCTCATCTCCAGGCTGGCTTCTGCTCTGGTGCTCAGGTGGGGTCCAACTCCACAAGTGTAAAACAGACGGCAACCACATATACTTACCCTAGCCTCTACCAAAAAAGGAAAGACACCGAATCTGGAAAATGTGTGGAACACTGATTTCTACTAAAGAAATCTATGAGAAAAACAGCCCTTACCTGAGGCAATCTGAATTTTGCAACCAGATTCTGCTTGAATTCGTGAAATCTGCTCACCTCCCCTGCCAATAACTGCAACAAAATGAGCAGGGTCAGAAAGTACCTCCCCTTCCACACTTAATCATGCGGATAGCTTAATTAACCCAACAGACATTTAATACTCTGCTCCCAACTCACTGGAAGCTGATCTCTGGGGAGCCCATCAACTCCTGGGCATCACAGCAGCAGAAGCTACATGTGAGATCAGCAGGTAATGGTACCTTAGCTGAGGTGACCTTAGCTAGGGGTGGCCAGGCACAAATGCTCTGACTCTATTGACTCCAGTGCCCGACACACTCCCACAGGCAACATGCTCATAAGAGATGATAACAGACCAGGATTAAGGGAAAAGACAATGCAGATACTTACTAAATCCAACCATTTTATCAGGCACTTTGAATTCTTCTGTTATTACTGCCCTAAAAACAATGATTTTTAAGAAAAAGTCAGAATTCAAAATTCTGCAACCACCTTAGATCCCCAAGATAAAAGCTTACAACAAATCATGCTGATTTGGCCCTTCCCAGGCACTCAGAGAGTGTCATTTCCATGCCTCTTTGGTCAAGCATGCCTCAAGAACACCAAAGCTTCTCCCCCTCTAGTCAGAAGAAAAACATCCTGATCCTTAAACCAACTCCTTCCTTAGCTGCCTGTTCTACATACAGCTGTGCTCTTATAGGAGGGCCTAACAGATGGGCTGTCAACCCCAGGACAGTTAAAGATCTGCTAGGGTTTAGAAAGAGGTTCAGACACCTATTAGAGTGTGCCCTCTAGATTAAAACAGAGACAACTTTTTGGATTTCCTGATCTCTTTGTTTCCTAGCCCCCCTCCAATATACCTACGTCTTCTAAGGTGGTATATGCCCACGAAAACAAGCACCCCGCATAGCCTAATCAGTGTTGGCCAGGCCAGTATAATCGCCTCACTCATGCTGTGAGAGACTCTTGTTAAATATGATCCTGTCCATCAGGTGCCTTCAAAAACAAAAAAAAAAGACTCCACTGGCTCTTTCAAACAAACTTTAAAATGTAGCATGCAGTGTATTGTGGACAATATCCAATTGCCCAGCACCCTGGAAAGCAATTAAATCTAAACATTTACCTTAGGGTATGCTAAATACAAGTAGTTTATATATAAAAAAAAGCATACATTGATAAGCATCTCCCACACAGCTGGATTTTTACCCATCATGGAAAGGATCGAATACAGTCATGTTTTCAGGGGAGTGCAGCACTTAGAAGAAATCTAACAGCATAAACAGCACTGTCATCACATCACTGTGACAGGAGCCACCTCAGCCTGTGTACATGGGGACCTTTCCTCATTTCTCTCCCGTCTCAAGCAATACAAGCATTCACCCAATCCTAATGGGGCCAATTTCTGGCATCCCACAGCCCTCAAGGCCTAACACTCCCCAGAATCGCAGAGCCCTCATGGCCTAATACCACCTGGCATCCCACAGCCCTCAAGACCTAACACCCCCTGGCATCCCACAGCCCTCAAGACCTAACACCCCCTGGCATCCCACAGTCCTCAAGACCTAACACCCCCTGGCAAAGAGACCAGGCCCGTCAGGATGTGCTTCAGCACATCTGTCAAGGCTGTGACATCTTGTACATAGGGCTGAGCACTGTGCCTGCTTATGTAGCACAGGCTGTCCACAGGAACTGGCTAGAGTGCCTTCTACACTAGCACAGTGGGACACCCTGTATGGGGTGCTCACCTAGCATGCTTGCTGGCAGTCCTAACTCATCCCCAGCACCAAGAACAAAAGCAATCCCACCAAGATCCCTAAAACAACACACACAATAGAGAATACCACAGGGCTGGGCAATCCCTCAGCTCTCATAAATAACACTGGCAATCAATCTCTAACTCCCCTCGATGTACCTCTAGCTGCCCTGGAACTTCCTATGTCAGACCAGGCTAGCCTTGGACTCAAAGACATCCCATCTATGCCTCACAAGTACAGTGACAGTCCTACGACACCACACCCAGTTCAAAGGCTCTCTTCTGAAGGCAAGGCTGAAACTGGTCTAAGGCACTAAGAATAGGCATTCTGGAAAAGAAACATGTTAATTACAGTTTAACAGGAAATGCTCATCAGCATTTCATACTAACAACCTCACGTGAATACAATGCAAACAAGAAAATCAGGCTAAACCTTCCATTTAACTGACTCTTAGTGATGTTTAGAAACCCCCAGCATTCACGTAGAACATGGAGGGCAGAATTGTGTCACCGGCAGTGCAGATTAAGGACACAACTGACAGTCACAGTCTGCAGAGGAGAAGCAGCATAGTTTCCTGGGCACTTTCCCCTTCCTGTAGGTGATGTTATGACCAGATGCTCTTATCTTACAGATGGGCTCTTTTAAAGCCTAGGGTCTTTGTCTCTAAATCCTCAACTTAATGGAAGGCTATGGGGGAAGAGGGAGAGAAGAAACTAAGGCACTAAGGCACTAAGAAACTAAACATTGTTCAACAAATCCCCAATCCCAGGCACATCCTGCTTCTGAAGCCCCATACACTCTGTTCACCCAAGAACTGCATTCTTCTTCTGTGAAGAGGCTGAAGATCCTGAGGCACTGGGAGATTCACAGAACCAGCAGGACAATGCACTCCCTCCTTTCAAATTTAATCTACAGTGGAAGAGAGCAACTCCACCATTGTGAGAGTCTCTTGAGGCCCAACAGGGGCTGGCTTAGTGCCTCATGTCAGTCTGCTCCTCTGGCCGACACTGTTTTGGAGAGGGCTGGCAGAAACCATGGGTCTTAAGGAAATCTAGCCCCTGGCTTCCCACACTCCCAACCTCTGACTTGCTAACACTCCAGTGCAGATGGTGGATCAATAAACAATTAGAAATGATCAATAAATAATAAAACATAACCCACTGCTTACCTTTGATGTACCAAGGCCCCTAACTGGTTACCTACTGTGGCAAAGAGAAAGAGAAAAGAAAAATCAAAGCATTAGCACGGATAAACTAACTTCATCCTTACCCGCATTCTTACTGTTCAGGGGTGGGCGGGAGACAGAAAGAAAGCAAACAGTAATTTAGGCTCAGTGGCTGAAATGAATGCGTTATGTGATATGAAACAGGAGGGGACGTCTTGTTCAACAGTCTCTATCCCAGTGTCCAGCTGAACGAAGGATAAGAAATTGATCTGTGTGTCCACATGCTGAGAGGCCTAGGAAGGAAGCCTGTCTGTCTAAATCCTGCCCACTCCCTCCTGCTTGGCATCCAAACCCAACGTAGATACACCGGGTCCTTCCTACTCTTTTAAAACCAAATGAGAAGATTCATCTCCTTGGAAGCACTGCTGAGGACTGCTCCATGGCAGCTGCAGTCACTAAGAACACGCACATATGTCCCTGTTCTGTAACCCCCCACCTCACCCAGTACAGCACCAGAAAGGACCAGGATCCTACTCCTGCAGCAGCGTCTCTAGTCCATTTCCCAGAGCTGAGCCAACAGGCTCTCACTTTAGAACAGACTCTGCAAACCGCATTTCCAGCGTGGCTCTGCCAGGCCCCCTGGTCTACTTTCTGTCTCTCAGCTATTGATGTACCCTCCTTCACCAGCCATCAGCAGAAATGGCTCTGTGCTGTTTCTCTTCTGGAAAATGCAGTTCAAGAAATACAGTCAGTGGACAAAGGGAGACTATAAACTCAAGAACTGAATGGACCTTTCGAGATGCTAAAAGAGCATTCAAAAATATGTCTCTGGGGAAAGCGGGAAAGCATCAGCCACACGAATGTCTGGGAAAGTGAGAAGGCCAACTGCTGTTTCCTGTCCAGTTCCCCTGCCATCCCCTGGACAGTAGAGGTCCGTGAAGAGACCAACAAAAGCGAACCAGACCATGGCACCCTCAACGGAGAGAAAGCAGAGGAACAATATAGCCCAAAGTAAACTACTGAGTTCACCGAAGCTATTGATCCAGAAAAAATACTCTATTCCATCTGGATCAATAGCAAGCTGACAGTCTGCAGCCAAAGCAGAGACACTGTACACTGCTAATCGCTCATCTCAGGGGAAGAGAGTTGTTTTTAATCGACTCCTAGAACTTTCTTTGCCCTTCCCCAGTGCTCGATTCCCATTCGCATGAAAACTGGACACTCTCCAGCTTAGCAGAGGAATCCCCATCATGGGCTTTGCCCAAAAACTGTCCACCACCGAGGGGACAAAACAAAATGCCAAAGAGAAGGGCAAGGGCAGAGGCTTGTGGGGCTGCACAGCAGTTCTACCCTGTAATTCCAGCACTCAAGAGGTTGAGCCAGCCTTAGTCACACACACAGATTTCAAGGCAGCCTGGGTTATACTGAACCCTGTCTCAAAAGAAAGTTTAGCTTCCTCAATTTCCATCAGAATCCTCTATTAGAGGATGAAGAGTCCACTGAATACAGGAAGAACTAAACACCCGCAAGTGAATGCAGGCCTCAGTGAGAGAAGCTCGGCAGACTGCAGCCCCCTGGCTCAGAGAAGCCACAGGAACACAGCAAAGGGCAACTTGGCCACAAAGAACCCTGTGAAACTCACCGAAACACTCAAGGCTTTCTGTTCAACACCATTCAATGACAGCCTGTGTTCACGGCAACAGAAATTCCTTTTTGATGGCAAGGTACACGTCACTGGCCATGCACATGGCATAGTTCTGTCTCCCAGACACTCAGAACCGAACACTGGAACCAAACTGCACACACCATCACTACTAAATACACAGCCTTCAAGGGCCATGACACCAAAGGACAAAACCAGATTCCACCAAGTCAGTATTGGGCCTCAGGCAGGCTGAGAAGCCCAAATTCTCCCCTCTCTCCATGCAAGCACAACACATGGTACACATGTGTGGCTCCATGCATCTATCTTATTGGGTGCCTAAAAATGGAACCAACAGAAAGGACACTGGGTACTGTGCATGCAACTACAATGCTCCTCTTGGGTCCCCCTGTCCTCCTGGTGGGAGGGTTACACTAAGGAAGCATCTCACTTCCTGAGTCCCCTTAGCTCAATTCCAGCATACCTGCACTCACAGGGTGGTTCTCACTGACCCTCCACACCAAACAATGGAAACTGCCTGGGATGTTGAGGGAGAATGAACTTTTCAGATATGCGGCAGCTGACAATATAAAAAATTACTTCTGAGGAGTAACACTCTGCAAAATTTCAGCAATAATCTTTAAAAAAAAAAAAAGTATAGGGCCAAACATATTCTTTCTCATGAGGGAAAAAAAATTACCTTGTTTTTGTTCATTGCAAAGAAATGCTAGCAAAGTATCACTGGCCAATTAGCCCAACTTTCTAAGAAGCTGCAACTTTAATAATCATCTGCCCCTGCCCCCCAGACACCAGGTGCTTGGGTAGATACCAGAGTGCAGCTCCAGCAGGGAGAAAAAGGGCAGGATTTTTATGCTCAGCAACAACAAAACCAATTTCCTCTTCAGATTCTTGTTTTAAGTCTGGATTTGTGTCCAAGAGCACCTTCATGTGTAGTGCAGGCTTCATGGAAGTTCAGGTCACTGCTGCACACTCCAAGCTAACAGGCTCGAAGCTCCCGAGGAGTGCTGGGATTGCAGACACTGCACACTGATTTATTTTATTTTATTTTATTTTATTTTATTTTTTTTTTTAAAGATTTATTTATTTATTATGTATATAGTGTCCTGCCTGCATGTATGCCTGCAGGCCAGAAGAGGGCACCAGATCTCATTACAGATGGTTGTGAGCCACCATATGGTTGCTGGGAATTGAACTCAGGACCTCTGGAAGAGCAGCCAGTGCTCTTAACCTCTGAGCCATCTCTCCAGCCCCTGCACACTGATTTATATGAACTCTGGGGACAAGACCTTGGGGCTGTCATGCTCTCACACAAGTGCTTTACCCCGAGCCATCTCCCCAGTCCTCCTCTTCAGTCTCAACACTCCCCCGAAACCCAAGCGCCCCCCCCCCCCCACTTCTGAATATAATTGGCCCTTTCCTGGTCTCAGTTAAGGTCAGTGATACCCAGGTGGCTGAGGGGGACATAAAGGCTTCCTGTGTCCTATACAGCAGCTCCTGTCCCAGACCACAGAGTGCTCCTTTGCTGAAGGGCCTTTAGGGCAAGTGATCCATTACTAATTTTGCCAATTATTTTTTTTGTTTGCCTTGTTTTTTGAGACAGGGTCTCTCTGTATAGTCCTGGCTGTCCTAGAACTCTCTCTGTAGACCAGGCAGATTTTGAACTCACAGAGATTCACCTGCCCCTGCCTCCCTAGTCCTGGAATTAAAGGTGTGTTCTACCACCACCTGGCCTCCATTTTTTTTTTTTTTTTTTGGTTTGGTTTTTTGTTTGGTTTTTTTTTGAGACCGGGTTTCTCTGTGTAGCTTTGGAGCATGTTCTGGAACTCGCTCTGTAGACCAGGCTGGCCTTCAACTCACAGAGCTCTGCCTGCCTCTGCTTCCTGAGTGCTGGGATTAAAGGTGTGTGCCACCACTGCCCGGCCTCCAATTACTTATTTTTGAGAACTGAGAGAAGGGAGGTAGAGACAGGAGGACTGAGGGTTCCAGGCTAGCCTGTGTACTTGGTGATACTCTCAACAAAGAAAAAACAGGCAACTGCTTGAGGGTGTTCCTCACTACTAAACCTGCCTTCTTTCCTGAGTCCTAAATCAGCAGGTGTAGGTTCTGCTCAGCCCTCAATCCCTTCTTTGGCTACTGACCAAATCCTGAGCATGCCTGTCCTGATCCTCAGCTTTCTCATTCTTTTTCTGAAGACACTCTCACACTCCATGCAACTGCTTTCCAACTTCCATGGAATATGTTATTTTTTTTCTGGACCCTAACTAAAAAGGCAGGGTGCTTTCTTCTTCCTCCTAGCAGCTTTGAGGGTTATAGCCTGTATGCACTGCAGACTGGAACAAACTGGTCTGCAATCCTCAAACAAAATAGGAAATGACAATGAGTTCACTTAGGAGGTAAAGAAAGAATCAGGAGTCTGAAGCCATCATAAAGAAGTGCAAGTTCAAGTTTGTTTCAATGTCACTCCTGCTTGCTCCTGAGCAGAAAAGACCAGCAGCAGCAGCTACACGTGGCACTGCCCCTGCCACACCTGCTTTCCCCACTACCAGGGAGCTGCTGTCATTAGCAGCCTTCTAAGGCAGAGCACAGGACACCTGCACACTCACTCCAGTTGCCTGGATCCACATGGGCTCTGCACGTAGCTCTGCCATTATCCGGGCACTTTTGGATCATTGTTTAGGAGGTGCTGAGGATGGAACCCAGACTTTACTGCACACTAGGCCAGTATACGACCACTGAGCTGCACCCTCCTCCTGTAATATTATTTCTGTTACTCCTCAGCCACCACATCAGGCCATTTGGGTGCATAAGGGTCCAGTGTACACTAACTCAACTGGAGGATCAAGATGAATCAAAACCTGTACCCCTCCACCAGAACACCCTTAAAGCCAAGGCCTGACCCGGAAGCAACAAAGTAACAGTGAGTGAACAGTAGTGCTCTGAGGCCATCAGCACAGTACTAAGCCTTCCTCCCATGATAAATATGGGGGCCAAGATTTCTTAAGACTCAATTTACCACATAGTGAAGGTTTATATTTCATAAGCCTTTATTTCAGTTTTGTGTGTTTTTTAAGGTGTATACTAACTAGTTCTGATGGAAACAGGATTTAACTCATTCATGAGTGATAGTTTTAAAAGTAAAAGCACTTCCTTTCTTATTTGTGGCAGTCCTGAGGATTGAATTTAGGGCCTCAGCCTAGCTCTATCTACTACTGAGCTACAGTCTCAGCTCTAAAAAACATCTTGCTACAGCCCTCATGGATAGTCTCATGACAGAGCTGTCACTGACTACAACTCATCCAGCTCCCCAACACTAGGGGCTAAGCCTGGATGAAGACTATTTCTAGAAGGAAGTCACATCAACCTAGCAATCTAACACCACGTAGGAAAGCACGGGCCGAGGCTGGGGGTCTAGATATAGACAGAACAGAGAAGCAGCAGTTAATCAGGCTGCTGCAAAAGCAGAGGTGGACAGCCAGGCCAGGAGGATCTAGAGCATAGGAGAGAACCTTAACAAGCCAGACAGCTCTGGGAGCTGTACACCTCAGCATGTACAAAAGTCTGACAGGAAAGCACTACAGTTGAGAGCAAGGATTTCCAAACTGATGCAATGTCAAAGGTGTATCCCCAAAGATGGAGAACATGTGGATATCGGCATTCAGAGGTGAAGGGTTTGAGAGTCTGGGACCATGGTTCATTGAGACGGTTCTGTGGGTAAAAGCGCTTGCCATAAAGCCTGATGACCTGAATTTGACACATGGAACCCACAAACAAGTGTAAGGAGAGTCCTCTGACCTCTGCACACAACCACAAGTATACCAGACAGACTATAAAAAGAGTGATGAGTATAACTGCTTGAGCTACATGATGAGCCTGACTCCTGCCTCTGTCTGAAGGAGACTAAAAGGCTGGGGAAGAGCACTGAGCAGGCCTGGTGAGCTGAGCTGCTGTCCTCCTGCAGGACTAAGAGGCTAGAGAAGCCATCTCAGGGACTGGAGAGTTGGTTCAGAGGCTACGAGCACTGGCTGATCTTCCAGAGGACCCAGGTTCAATCCCAGCATCCACATGGCAGTTTAAAACTGTCAGTGGACTCCAGTTCCAGGGGATCTGACACCCTCATACACATATACATGCAGGCAAAACACCAATGGATGTAAATTTTTTTTAAAAAATCATTAAGAAACAAACAAAAAGAAGCCATCTGAGGGAGTGCTCACAACTGCCTAGGGTGCCACTGACTTGTTCCTTTCCATACAGGACACTTCTCAAGGCAGCACTGCCCTGCATCTGCTTAGCTCTCTCCTCCACAGAACACAGCTCCCCTGATTCTGGCCCAGTGACCTTACTCCCAGTGGCCAGGGAGGGAGAAGACGATGCTGAGGCCGAAACTAGGCCCCATTTCCAGGGTTCCTCCTCTGTTCAACAGAAAACCCAAATTCCAAACTTGGAGAGCAGGAGGAAAGAAACAATTTTCATAAGGTATTTAACAAAGAGGTTTACTTGATCAAAATGTGCTGCACAGTGCAGAGTGCCTGAGGGTAATGTCTGCTTCCTCCAGTACAGTGGGTCGCCATGAGACAAGTGTGCAGAGATCCGGGAGACCCAGCAGCATGCAGCTGCACTCTCCCTGGTACTCTCTCACTACGAAAGCACACCGCGGAAAGGAAAGGAAGCTATACTGAGGAGCTGTCTGTCTTTAAGGACAGACAGACACAGAGTGTGTATTTCAAAAAGAGGTAACAAGGCAGACACGGTAGTAGAGTCTGTAGTCCCAGTCCTTGGGAAGTAGAGACAGCGGGGTTAGGAAAGACTTCACCCTGGCTTATATGACAGTTTGGAGGCCAGTGTATGCTATCCTTAAAGTGGGCACGGTAGCACTTCCCTTTGATCTCAGCACTCAGGAGGCAAAGGCAGGTGGATCTCTCTGAGTTTCCAGGACAGCCAGGGCTCCACAGTGAGACCCTGTCTCATAATTCAAACCAAAGCAACAAAAGAAAAGAAGTAAAAATGCATGCATTATAACAAGGACTTGGGATTTTAGGTGAGATTCTGGTGTTCCCTTCAGAGTGTTGTCTCTGGCACCCATATCTGCTTGTTATTCTGTGCTTTTTATCGATAAATTCAGAATGTTTTACTGATTTCTTTCAAACAGGATAAAAACATCTTTTTTTGGGGGGAGGGGGGTCTGAGACAGGGTTTCTCTGTGTAACCCTGGCTGTCCTGGAAATTACTGTAGACCAGGCTGGCCTGGAACTCACTGAGATCCGCCTACTTCTGCTTCCCGAGTGCTGGGATAAAAGGCGTGTGCTACCACTGCTCATCGAGAAAAATATCTTAAAAGTGCCAGAGGGTTTTACTAACAAATATTTAGGTATACCCTATGCAAAAGACAGCATGGCCCAACTTTTCACACTTCGAATCTACAGGCTGAATTGCTCGACAGGACTGGGTAAACTGTAAAGTGATTGATCGTGATTTCTGGGAACACTACACTAGAAAGATACCATCCATTAAGAAGACCTGTGCTCAGAGCCAGACAACTCCATTTTATTTCTATATTGACGTCCTGCAGGAACAAACAAAGCGCAAGGCCCTGGAAAGAGAAAGAGATTTCTCTGAGTCACTGCTCCTCACTTGTGCAAAACTGCCCTTAGCACACTCAACCATACTAGGTCTAAGAAATCACTCTACAAAAACCGAGAGACCATAGGGTACACTTAGCAGCAGCAATTTAAACGGTTACCTGCATTTTGACAACCTTGAGGTGAATTTCTGTATGAGATCACAAACAGTTTGGGTTTTTTTTTGTTGATGTTTTTTGAGACAGAATTTCTCTGTGTAACAGTCCTGGCTGTCCTGAATTCACTCTGTAGACCAGGCTGGCCTCGAACTCACAGAGATCCACCTTCCTCTGCCTCCCAAGTACTGGAATTAAAGGCATGCAGCACCACTGCCCATCTTGTGATTGTTTTTTTTTTAATGTATTTTGTATGCATGCATGCACAGATGCATTGTGGAGTTCAGAGGACAAATTGTGGCAATCAGTTCTCTCCTTCCATGAATTGAACTCAGGTGCTGAACTATCTCCAAAGTCCATGAATAATTTTTTTTTTTTTTTTTTTTTTTTTTTGGTTTTTCGAGACAAGGTTTCTCTGTGTAGCTTTGCGCCTTTCCTGGGACTCACTTGGTAGCCCAGGCTGGCCTCGAACTCACAGAGATCCGCCTGGCTCTGCCTCCTGAGTGCTGGGATTAAAGGCGTGCGCCACCACCGCCCGGCCATGAATAATTTTTTTAAATAGACAAGAAATTTCACTCTCAAAATCCTTATTGTCCCTTATACTCAGAATCCAATTATTCTTTAGAAAAAAAAAAAAATCTGCCAGGTGAATCTGTGAGATTCAAGACAGGCACCAAAACTACACACACAAACTCTGTCTCGAAAAACAAAACAAAACAAAACAAAATCTTGCCAGGCACACACCTTTAATCTCAGCATTCAGGAGACAGAGGCAAGCAGATCTCTGTGAGTTCGAGGCCAGCCTGGTCTACAGAGTGAGTTCCAGGATAGCCAGGGCTGTTACAGAGAAACCCTGTCTTAAGAAAGCCAAAACAAACAAACAAACAAACAAACAAACAAACACTCAAGTCAGGCATAGTCGCTTATGCCTTTAATCTCAAGACTCAATAGGCAGAGGCAAGTACACCTCTGAGTTCAAGGCCAGCCCAGTCTGCATAGTGAGTTCTTGGCCAGCCAAGAGCTATGTAGAAAGAACCTGTCCCAAACAAACAAAAACCACACACTCTTTTGAAAAGGAGATTACACAACACATACAATTCTAAACCTTGGTGGTTTTTCCTCTTAACAACATATCACAGAAGCGTCTATACACAACTGGCTATGTACCCAGAGCAACAGGAAGGTAAGAAGAAAAGACACCGTCTCCCCAGCTATATGCAGACCCATGTGAAACTCTGTTCACTTCCCACCCTCAGTGTGCTCCCAAGCAGGAGGGACAAAGCCAGTGTGAACTCTGTGACAACACAAGGCTGGAGCACTGGTGACAGGTACTCTGAGTGTCCCCAAATTCCTTTAGAGATGGAGTTGGAAATAGAAATCAACAAACTAATAAATGAATGAATGAAAATGGATGCTTCTACAAAGAGCCTGTCACACATGAAAGTATATGGAGACTATTAGGGAAGATGACGGATCAGGGATGGGAGAGGGCGACAGAAGGGAGAATGGTCCAAGTATGTAACATGCATATCTAAAAATGTCATCATGGAATCCAGTAGTGCATATAAATAGTACATGCTGATTTTGAAAAAAAAATTCAACAACAAACCATGCCAGACACAAATGGAAATGGTGAAAGCTGGCAGGGACTGGAAAGGTCACCAATCTGTCCTTTCTTAGAGGTCAGCTAACTACAGTTTCCCCAGGACTTGCACCAAATCTTAGGATTTCACAAAAGTACTAACTTCAATTCCCATGCAAGTGCCAGAGGGACTGAGAACTAAATCAAACACAATTCTCAAATGGGTCAAATTACTTCCAAGTGGACGCTGAGGCCAAGTCTTTACCGTGGAGCCCAGCTGAAAAGATTCCTGTATTATCAAGGCAAATAGGAACTCAAATGCCAGCCAATTGCTAAGAAAAATCATCCTAACTACTTCCTCTTCAGCATCCTCTAAGAGTGTGATGCTGGAGAACTGCTCAGAAATGGCTGACAGACTCAAAATAACCGGCAGGTTCACTGCCATCAAAAAGGTGAGCCGTTTACAGCAACTTACCTCCATCATCCAGGGGCCGTTTCTGTACTCCATATCCGTACACCGAGGGGTCCACCAAGGGTGTGGAATTATTCAAGTGAGGAATTGAATCAATTTTAGCAGCAATCTACAGAAAGAATCAAATTTAAATACTTGGTAGCAAGTCATAGTTTTATCCCAGGAGGGAAGACATCGTCTTCTTTAAGGGGCTGTGACCCCATTTCTCCCACCTAGAGCATTTTCTCTGGAAGGGCAAACATTTAACCTGTTGAGTTTTCTTTGGTCTTGCCGCTTTAGAAATTAACTCCCCGAATGTTGTCTTTTAAAAATTTAATTCAGGGGGAAAAGAGGTGTATGTGGAGGACAACCTATGATTGTTGGTTTTCTTTTTCTACCTCTTGAAGTCCACGGTTCAAATTCACATTGCCTTTACCTGCTAAGCCATCTCATCACCCCCTAAGAAAACCAGAATTTTTAGTCACTTAATATATATGTATGCCACATCTTCCAGAGTCCTCTGACTAACTCATAGGGTCTTGTTTTAGACAAGATCTTACTAGATACCTTCAAACTAAGGGTAGCTCTCTGCCTCAGCCTCCTGACTGCTGCTATTATAAGCATGAATGGCAGACCTGGCTCTGGGCCACCTTAATTTTAAGAGCAGCCTCAAACATTCTCAGCACATAGTAAAAATGACCCCAAAATGGGTTGGCAGGAGAGCTTAAAAGGTAAAGGGCTTGCTACCCAAGCCTGACTATCTAAATTTGACCCGCAGAACCCACATGAATGTGAGAAAACATTCCATAAACTGTCCTCTGACTTCCACATGTGTACACACAGCACACACATGCACAAAATTATTCTTATTTTATGCTTATGGGTGTTTCGCCTACACATATATCCATGTACCAAGAGTGCCTGGTGCCCTCAGAGGCCACAAGAGGGTGTCAGCTGCCCTGGGACTGGAGTTACAGATGGTTGTGAGGAGCAATGTGGGTGTTGGGAATGCAGCCAGTGCTCTCAGCAGTCAAGCCCAGCCCATAATAACTTTTACAAGACTTGAGGGGCTGGAAGGAGAACTCCGTGGAGAGCTTCCTGGGCCTGCAGAAAAGTGGGTTGCCAGCACTCATGGCAGGTGGCTTACAATGATGTCCTGTAACTCCAACTCCAACAGAAGGAAATCTGACCCCTTCTTCTGGCTTTGGGGGACACACCCATGTGGCATATATTCACAGATATCTTTTAAAACATCAACTTTAAAATGACTCCCAGCCAGGTGGCAATGGAGCACGCTTTTAATCCCGGCACTTGGGAGGCAGAGGCAGGTGGCTCTCTGTGAGTTTGAGGCCAGCCTGGTCTACAGAGTGAGTTCCAGGACAGCCAGGGCTACACAGAGAAACCTTGCTCAGAATAAAAAAAAATCCCACAAATAAACAAATAAAATGACCTCCCCCAAAGAGGTAAAGGGATTCAAACAGTCAATGAGCAGCCTGAATACAGACAGGATCCAACCACAAGTCTGTACCTTAGGCAGGTTATTTCCATTCCCTTTGGAAGATGCCTTCTGGTTTCCAGATTTTTGTTTGCTTGAGACAAGGTCTGCCTCGGCCTCCAAGTGCTGGGTTGCAGGTGTTTACCACCACACCTGGCCATTGTTTTTTGAGTCAGGGTCTCATGTAATTCAGGCTGGCCTGGAACTCACAATACAGCCCAGCTAAACTCCTACCTCTTGAGTGCTGGGATTGCGGATGTGCACTACTATGCCCAGCCTCCTTCCTTATCTGTTGGTCTTACAAGTAGCTGGAATGAGTGTTACGATGGTTTCCTATTGTTCATTTTATTGAATCAACAAGTATCCTTCTAAACTGTAATGGAAGTTTTTGCATCCGTTCTAAATTTATGATTGTTTTCATTGTCTATAATTTGAGAAATTACCACTGAGATGGAGTAACATAGAATATATGTGGAGGTCTGAATGAGAATGGCCCCAAGAGGCTAATATATTTGAATGCCTGGTCACTAGGGAGTGGCACTATTTGAAGAGATTAGAAGGATTAAGGGGTGTGTCCTTATTTGATTAGGTGGGACTTTGTTGGACGAAATCTATCACTGGGGATGGGCTTTGAGCTTTCTCTCTTTCTTTTTTTCTGAGACTGGGCTTCTTTGTGTCGCCCTGGCTGTCCTGGATCTCCCTTTGTAGACAAGGCTGGCCTTGAACTCAAGAGCTCTGTCTGCCTCTGCCTCCTAAGTGCTGAAATTAAAGGCATGGGCCACCAATGCCCATCTGGCTTTGAGTTTTCAAAAGGCCATGCTAGGCCCAATCTCTCTCTGCCTATGGATCAAGATGTAGCTCCTAACCATTTCTCCAGCACCATGCTGCCATGTTCCCTACCATGAAGATAATGGACTAAACCTCTAAAATTATAAGCAAGCCCCCAATTAAATGCTTTCTTTTTATGAGTTGCCTTGGTCATAGTGTCTCTTCACAACAATAAAACAATGACTAAGACAACATTATGTATATAGTATATAGTATATGGTAGTATGAGATAACAGTTAAATAGACTACAGCCAAGTACGGTAGTTCATGTCTGTAATCCCAGCACTAGGAAGGCTGAAGTCAGGAGTTCTAGGCGAGCCTGAGTTACATTGTGAGACACTGTCTCAAAACAAACAAGTAAGCAAGCAAACAAATAAAATCAGGTTGGAAAGATGGCACATCACTTAAGAGCTCTGACAGAGGACCTAAGTTTGGTTCCTCAGCACCAATGGTGGGTGGCTTACAATCACCTGGGGATCTGACACCTCTTGCCTCCGAGGACACCTATATGCATGTACACAAACCCACACACAGATACAAATGCATATACGTAATTAAAAATAAATCATTTTACAACAACAAAAATGCAAGACAACAAACAAATAACAACAAAAAAACCTGCCATAGGTCAAAACAGGAAGATTGCAAATTCAAGGCCAACTGGGACTATAGAAAGGAGACCCTGACTCAGTCACACTCAGGTCTTTCTTTGCACATGTGAGGCAAGTACTCTCTCACTGAGCCATATTCCCAGCTCTAAGGAGACCTTGTCTCAAAAACAACCCCAAACAAAATTTATAGAACAAGACACACTAGCTCTAAAGCAGTCTGAACTTGAATCCTGGCTATACAAATGCTTGTTACAATGTATCATTTATATTCTAGTGTACATTTTATTATGTTACAGCATAAAGAAACAATGTTTTTCTTTATCACACAAATGCAACCTTGTGGGCAGTGGTGGCACAAGCCTTTAATCCCAAGCACTCAGGAGGCAGAGGCAGGCAGATTCTCTGTGAGTTCAAGGCAAGCCTGGTCTACAGAGCAAGTTCCAGAACAGCTAGGGTTACACAGAGAGACCCTGTCTTGATGGTTCGGCGGGTTAGAGTGCTCAGCTTTGCAAGCATGAGGGCCAGGCTCATACCCATGTAAAAAGCTGGGTATAGTCACAAATGCCTGTAATTCTAATGCTGTAGGGAGGAGACAGATGGATTGCTGGGCTTTACTAGCTGAGGGTTCAGTGAAAGAGTAGAACACCCAACAGCCCTCTCCTATCTAGCTTCTGCAAGCACACACATTCGAATACAGAGCTCAGAATGCATGACTGTGAGTAAGGTGGCAAGGTTCTTTTCCTTGATGCTTCCTCCAACAGGTACACAAGGCTGTTCTGGTGGTTTCAGGATCCATGCTTTCAGGACCACACACACACTGTTCTTAGTTCCCTTATATGCACAGCTAAGTCTCCCATTTGGGACAGTGATGCTCTTCCCTTTTATTATTTCAAGGCCAGGCTCAATGGATAAAGCATTTGCGACGGAAGCCTGAGGATCTGAGCCTCTTGCATCCACATAAAAAAAGCCAGACAAGTATGGTGGCCCACCTGCAATCTCAACACTTAGGTGGCAGAGCCAAGAGAGTCCCTGGGGCAAGCTCAGTGAGCTTGGGTTCATTGAGAGATTCTGTCTCAGTAAATTAAATGGGAAGCAACTGAGGAAGACACAGATGTCAACCTCTGGACTCAAAACATACTTGCAGAGTGCTCCCACATATGCAAATAAGAATATGCATGTTGCTTTAATCCTAGCACTCAGGAGGCAGAGGCAGGCAGATCTCTGAGTTCTAGGTCAGCCTAGTCTATAGAGTGAGTTCAAGGACAGCCAGGACTACACAGAGAAACCCTGTCTTGAAAAACAAAACAAGAATATACATGCATGTATGCATACATACAATATACATTAGCAAAAAAAGAAAAAGGAAAAACTATTTTAAACTGGAACCACACAAAGTAACTCATGACTGTAATGGTAGCACTCAAGAAGCTGAAGTAGAAGGATTGCCGTAAGTTCCAGGCCAGCCTGAATTTCAGGTCAGCCTAGAATGTTGCATGAGACACTGTCTCAAAACAAACAAAAACAAGTATTTTCAATCCAATGTGGTTGACATGAACCTATTATCACAGATCCTGGAATACTGAAGCAGGAGGACTTCAAATGCACTTCCTTGCAAAAGGATTACTCAACTGGGCTCCTTAACTGTTTATACCCCATCATGGAGGGTTGGAGAGCCATGAGACTCTCACCTTAGTAACCAACCACTTTCCCACCACCTCCCTGTGGCATGTAACTCTGCCTTAACTTCAGGAAGCCTTGGGGAAGGGGTAGACTATATAAAGGGACAGGGACCCCATCTGGGGGGGCGGGGGCTCACTGCTGCTGGGTAGCTGTTTTTCAGGTGTGACCTTTTAAAGGGAAGAACCCTCACCTATGCTCTGTGAAGTCCAATAAACTCATCAGTTCCATGGTGGAATTATGCAGTTTGTTGCTGGGATCTTAGGAAAAGGGGCAGACATTGCTCCCCTGGAAAGGAATTCCAGCAACACACAGTGAGAGAGACCCTAATCCCCAAAATAAAACAAAGTGAAAACAGTAAACAAACAATGTACTAAGACTTCATAAACACTGCAGAAGTCATAAAGGAGTCACAGTAAATCACTGTCACTAGGACACGGCACTTGCTATTCGAAGAACACTCAAGATTGAGACTACAGGCTAAAAGCCATGACAGCTCATCTTGAAAACCCAAACGGG